CTCCTCCTCCTCCTCCTCCCCCATCTCCACCACTCCCTCTCTGCAGCAGACCACCTTCACCTTCCCCACTCCACCTCCTTCCAACTCCTCCTCCCCACAGCCGCTCCTCTCCTCCTCCTCCTCCTCTCCCTCCACCAACACCTACCACACCATCCCAGAGATGATCGGCCCGCACACACCCGCAGACGCCTCCTTCCATGCCTCGTCTTCTGCGTGTCAGTCGGGCCTGCAGCACCAAATATCCACCCATCCCGTGCCCAGTCAGCCCAGTCAGCCACTGCAGGGTGAAGGTATGACCAGTGGAAATAATTCACCCAGCGATCAAAGTCCAGCAGCATTTATTTATCCAAATCTCCTGCCTACAAATCCTGATCCGGTTCCAGTTGCTGCTCAGCCTCTCTTCAACCACAACCAACCACTGGCTCCCACTCTGCCGTGCCCCCTACCCTCCCATGGTGCTGCCACATCTTTTGCCTTCCCCTCCGTCCCCTCTCACATGCAAAACCTCTCATATCCGAATGTGTCACCCAGCCTGACCCACCCCGCCCTCCACCTCCCAAATCTGAGCCACCAAGCCCCAGCTGCAGCCTTCCCTCCCTCCTCCTTCTCTTATCCACCGTCCTCCCTCCCTCACCCTTCTTTCCAACCTTCCTCTTGCTTGGCCGTCTCCTCTTCCTACCAGCAGGCCGTCTCCTCCGCTCCACACAACCATCCTCAAAACTTTCCCAATGCTCATGCGTCCTCCTCCACATCCTCATACCCTTCGGTTGAAATAGGCAACATTCCTCAGTTCAACCCCCCTGCCCCGTATCGCCCGGAGATGGTCCTGCACCACCCGTCTCTTCTCCCTCAGCTGGATCCATCTCTTCCCTCCTCCACTCCTCCTCCTGCGCTCTACCCAACCTTTCCGTCCTACCCTCTGCGGCTGTGTCAGGACCCTCACTCGTCCCTCTCCATCCCTTTCAGGCATCTGTACAGACAACACCAGCATGGCCATGCCCACCCCCAGGGGTCCTACCTGGACATGGGTGCAAGACCTGTGTTTTGAAATACAGCAATGTTAATGTTGACAAAACGTGTTGGCCTTATAGCGCTTTTAGGGGTTTTAGCAATGTGTAGAATTGAGTGTGTGTGTGAGAGCTGATGAATTGATCTGAATCTGTAAATAGCTGTTGAAGATTTTCTTTTCAAATATCCATTCCAGTGTGAAAATAATAAAAATGTTTCCTTGTCACACTTTTGTCAGTGTCTCAATTCTTATTAAGTTACTTGTTTTTATAAAACCCTTCCACACATTTTCATGGAAATCGCTTCAGTAGTTTGTACTGTGAGTAAATCCTGGTGACGGACACACACACACACAAACAGACATAAATAAAAACAGCCTTCTCTGCGATGGTGACAATAAATAATGTGGGATTCTGATGCCAGTTTTGTTGAGGTCAAAGTGACGGAGCGCTTGTGGCTAGATGCCGAGGGTCAACTTCATGTTTACACAATTTTGTCAAACAGTCACTCATTAACCTGTTCTTTGGGAAAAAGATGATGAATTTTACTGGTTCTCCTGAAAACAAACGGCACCAGACGACCTCTCGTCCTTTAGGTCTGCCACAAGCAGGACGGTGAGGTGACTCTGGTTACTCTAATTTCATTTATTTAATTTCGACTTATTCATTTCCGTTCAGCTGTTTTGTTTTTGCTCTGTTTTAAACTAGTTTTTCTGACAGATACTATTGTCAATGTTGATTCTTGTCGTATTCACTGACTGTTTTCTTTCCTCCTGCTCTTACAACAGGTTTTTTCATGATCCGTCCTCACTGATATTCTGGATTATTCTATTTCTTGGTAACTCTCATGCCAGGTTCAACTGGAACACCTTTCAAAATAACACATAGACAGACGTGCTCCTCTAAGGATGATGATACGCTCTCGTTTGCGCCCCTCACTCCCTCACCTCCTGCCGCTGAGGGTGATGGGTACTGCGGCCCCCCGGACGGTGGCTGCCAGGCAGCACAACCTGCTCTCTGCGACTCTGGCCTTCGAGGATCCCAGCGCCTTCAAGGTGAAGAGCTGGGGGGAGCTGCTGCGTGCTCTGGGGGTCTTCCGCCTCTGCTCCTTCCCTGTGCTGGTGAACAACTGTGGGAAGGTGAGACGACTTTTGTGATTCATGGTGATTGATAGGTGCAGGATAATAACCTGAATAAGAGTTAATACGATTCTTTTCTTAGTTTATCTTGGGCAGTGATGTTGTCGAGGCTCTGAGGATTCCATGCTGTGACAGTTGATGCTTGAGGGCACATGGTTTACATTTGCAATGCACAAAAAAAGCAGGATTGTAGGTAAGAAAATAAGGTGGCAAAGCATCTTTGTCTATTTCTCATTCTTCTTTTCATCCTCTCTTAGCTTATGTCCGTAGCACGCACCATTCTGGGGAGAAGGGGCTTTTCCTTGCTGCTGCGGCCCACCGTGTACGCTCAGTTTGTGGCTGGAGAGAGTGAGACCGAGATCTCTCAGTCCATGGAGAAGATGAAGCTGCTGGGACTGAGGCCCATGCTGGCAGTGCCCATCGAGGAGGATCTTGGAGAAAGCACCGGGTTTGGAATCATTTTTAAACTGAGACTTAACTCAGGTTGATCAGTGACTTGACTTCTAGTTGTAATATTTGCACCCGGTGCAGGTTTTTCTTGCATTGTGATGTTACGGTGCTTGGAGAACATTTCACAAACAGGTGGTAAAAACCTTGGAGGCTGATGACGAGTGTATTCTGTCCAATTTATTCCTCCTTTGACTAATCACACTTAGTTCACATTAATGTGGCTCGACAGCCTCACGATAACGTTTCTCACCTTCAGGGAGAAGAGATATGACGACAACATGGAGGCCATGCTGGAATGTGTGCGGATGTCGCACGGCAACACCTGGAGCCGAGATCCAATGATGCAGCTGAAGGTCACAGCTCTGCTCAGCCCGGAGCTGTGTGTAAGGCTCTGTTTCACACCTCACAGTCCACACTCATCATGGTTTTACCCCCCCCCCCATGTTCAATTGAACTCTAAAGATATATAACTAACTTTTTCGCAGCACTGTGTTTATTAATTTTTAATTAACTTTTAAATACTATGTACATTACGTCTATTTTCAGTATGGGGACTTTGACATTTGATTTTCCAAGAACCCGACACTCCTGGGGCCAAACAGTATCTGCATGTAGTTCAAATATGTGGGAAAAAAAGATAAGAATACACGTTTCAGTTCACAGCTGTTGCTCTTGAACGCCACCTCAGCAGTACTGACGAGTGTCTGCTCCCTTTTTACAGTGTTTACGTTGTGTATTCACTGACTAATGAGTCTGTGCTTGTATCAAGGTGAAACTCACAACCCTCATCGCACAACAACCGTATGACCTGAGTCTCGTCGTGAGGGCCATGGATGGAGAGGTATGCCCCCCCCACACACAAACACACACACACACGTTTACTCACAACTTTGATGGTGATCCCTTGTCAGCCAATCAGCTTCCCTGGGTTGGATGAAGGTGAAGTCGCCCACTTCCTGTGTGGTCTGCGGAGACTCAACAAAATAGCAGAGGTACAGATGTGAAGGCTCATGGGAAATTTGTTTTGATATTGCCACATTACTTTTAAATTTTTTTTTATTATAATGTTTTATTATTTTGCATCTGTTGTGTCTGTTGCTTTCTTAGGCGAGTGTGAACAAAGTCCGAGTCCTTGTGGACGCTGAGTACACCTACATGAACCCCGCCCTCTCTCTTGTAACCATGGCGATGATGAAGAAGTTTAACAAAGACAGCGCCTGGATTTGGAACACATATCAGTGTTATCTGAAGGCAAATGAATCTCTCTCTCTCACTTTGTATAAATATCCAATATTACCTGCACTTATTCTGGTCATCACCCCCCCCCCTCTCCTCCAGGAGTCCAGGTCCCTCCTGTTAGAAGCTCTGTCTCTGTCTAAGAGCGAGGGTTTCTGTCTGGGGGTCAAGCTGGTGAGAGGAGCCTACATGGACAAAGAGAGGAAACTGGCAGAGACAGAGGGACGACCGGACCCTGTCCATCAGTCCTGGGAGGACACCAACGACAGGTGGATAGAGGCCGGCGGCCGTTACTGTGCATAAAACCAGGCAAATGCATCCTAGACTTTAAAGGTTCAGTGTGTAGACTTCAGTGACATCTAGTGGTGAAGGAAAAAAAAAAAACCCTAACCCAGCTTTTAAACCTTAAATGACCCTTTTGAAGGATTTCTGACAGTGAACTTGACCCCAACACATTTCATCTGGTGTGTTTGTGCAGTTATAACGGCTCGCTGGATGTCATGCTGAAAGCCATATCCCAGAAACCCGAGCGCCACAGGATCATCATCGCCACTCACAACGAGGAGTCAGTGAGACGAGCCGCCCAACGGTCAGAACACGATACCTGTACGATAATTACCATAATAAAGATGAAAGGATGAAATGACTGCTCCCCAAAAATGAAGCCAAAGCATCTTGAAAGCCCCCTGGTGGCGGGCTGCAGTGTCTCGAGCCACCATCATGTGTGATAATGTAATTGTTTTGTTTGGTCTTCAGGATGGAGGAGTTGGCGATAAACAAAGATGGAGATTCGGTGTGTTTCGGCCAGCTGCTGGGAATGTGTGACCACGTCTCCCTCACACTCGGTGGGCTGCTGATTTTTATTTCCTCTATGACGTCCTTGTGCTTATTACAAATACTCAAATACACACTAGAGAAAATACATTGTTTTCTCGTGCACTGGTAAACTTTTTTTTAAACGTGTTTTTATAAAAACATTTTTACTCCTAAAAATTACAAAATGTGGGAAAAATTGCATTAAAAGCAACATTTTAAATACCTGGATATTTATATGCTTTTGATTTTTATGATCAACATGTTCACGCTCATGTCTCTCTCCTCTTCCTTCCAGCTAAGGAGGGTTACGCCATATACAAGTCGGTGCCATACGGCTCAGTGGACGACACGCTCCCCTACCTGGTGCGTAGGGCTCAGGAGAATCGCACTGTGTTGCAGGGAATCCGCAAAGAGAGGGACCTACTGAGGCAAGAGGTATTGAGGAGGCTGCGTCTGAGAGGCGGCAGCTAATACTCAAACTCATGCTCCCTGTTCGTAAATTTGACAGTGTTGATTGAAAGGTGAAAGGGTTGGTGTGGAGTTTTAATTTAAAAATGAATTATGATAAAAAGGTTTTAGCTGGTTGTCAGGGGATTAAACTTATGAATTAGTAACCAGAGAACATGACGGTGATGAAACAGTGACAGTCTGATGTTAAATGTAAACATGATCATCACATACAACTAGAATAGAAAGGAAACACTGGAGGGTCAGGTTAGATATAAAGTATACTTCAAATGGATTAAAGTATTTTTGCTTTTTTAACTGATGATGAATTAACAGCTCTACAGCAGAAGTTAAGAAACTAAGTTAATGTCTGATGAGGTCAAAATGAATGAAATGTTCAGTATTGAAGTGAAATATTTAACAGTGTCATCTGTTTGTTAGAAGCTGTTTTAAAACCAGAGTGAACACATGAAAACTCTAGAACAGTTTAACCATTCAACTGATGAATAAAATCATCTGTTTGCCAAAAAAGAAAACTCAGAAATCACTGTTTATTATTGTTTATTTAATAAGTATTTGTCAACACTACTTGATGTAACTGTCAGCTGACTCCACTGCCACAAACTAACCTCACTGCGCTGCCTTTCGTGTCCCATTTTCTTTTAGCATTAATCTTAAAACTCTTCACGTTTATCCAAAGAAGTTGTCAGAACCGGAATAAAAAAGTCACTATGCAGTTGCAGTGAGAAAAGCTTGTAACTTCATTGACCTTCAGCTGTATCAGGATCAGTTTTGAGTCAAACAAGGAGAACAGCACACAGCCAAGTGCCAAGTACAGAAGGTGGTGGTTGTTGTTATGGAATGAAAACTAATTCAGGTGGTGAGGCTGAAATCCTCACGTTCAAAGCCTAGTAGTTGTTTTGGTTCTGGTTTCTGTAGCCGCCTCTCTGGTAGCCCGACTTATTCCCGTGGTATGAACCTTTCTGATCTGTGAACGTGCACAGATGAAAACACGGTTATTTATGAGCAAACACACTGCAGCATTCAAACTATTTATAAAAAGTGAATACGTTCACCTGATATTTTAAATGCAACAGTTCAAAAGCAGCAGACGCTTTTTGTCTTAACCTGACATTGTTGTTTATTACAAATATGTTACTGATTTATTGTAAACGAGCTCAGTCAGCGACAGTTAAAGGAGCAATACATAACTAACAGAAGTGCAAACTCAGCGTGGCTTCACGTACCTCTCTGATAGGACTTGTTCTGTTGGTAGCCACCTTTCTGATCTGTTAAGCAAAAAACATCCAGGTGACATTTTAATAAGAAAGCACAAATCCGTCAGTAATATCAAAGGGGTCTTTGGCAAACACGCTGGATGTAAACATATCTTACAGACAGTGTGTGGTCTGAACTCACCTCTGTTGAAGTAGCCTCCGTAGACGCCCTGTTTTAGGTCAAAGACACGCTCGTTGTTCTCCACCAGGCTGCCCAGTTTCTCGGCCAGCTGCAGAGCCATGTTCTGCAGGGAGGTGGGCTCTGTGCGGTGCATCACCACCGTCTGTGTGGGCTGGTCGAGTGATGCCTGTAGGAAGGGGAAAAAAAACATAATTACAATGGAACATGTACATGTTTGTGCATGCAAGTATGCAGAAGAAGTTTCAATAAAGATTTTCAGAACACGGTGGCCATGACATTTACCATCAGCTCCTCGTTGATGATCATCTTGCTGATTATGCTGTGAACCGTGGGGATCTCTAACTCAAACATCTCAGACAGTGTCCCCATGCTTGGAGGACAGATAAAAAAAATGTTTTAAGTAAGAACATTTTAGATAAGATGGAAGTTAAGCTTTGCTAGTGTTATTTGCATTCACATTAGGAGACAGAGCAAAGTTCAGTATCAGTGTCTGACACGAGCACAGAAAAACAGATCTTGAGTTTACCTGATGGAGTCATACACACTGCTGTACGTAAACAGATAAGTCCTCAGCGACTCCTCTTGGATTTTCCTGTAAAATGTATAAAAATAATATAATCAATGTATAAATAATAAAGGTATGTATGTGAACACGTCAGCTACCAGAACTAACAGGGATTCTTACCACAGAGGAAAAGAGCACATGCTTTTTAATAAGATTGATGTTCATACACTTGAAAGTAAGTTAGGTGATGTATGATCATATTAGTTTCTCCAACCTGACAAGCATCTGGCGTACTCGCTGAGTCTCGGGAAACAGGTCCCACACTTTACTGTTCATCTTCTCATTGATGATGAATGAGTGGCAGGTTCGCCAGTCTCCCATCTTCATGGCTTTGCTGGCGGCCACCACGTGCTCCCTCATGCTCTCTGGGGGCCCTGGAGGACAAAGACAGATACTGTCACCCCTCTGGTTTCTCTGTTGATTTAACTGGTGTGAAGAGCTTGTCAGGAGACATGTCGCTTACCCAACAGTGGCTGTCTCTCTCCCACCCTAAGCTGGTGGTGGAACTGCTTGCTGATCATCCTGCGGCGGGCGTCAAATTCATGGGCAGCCATGTATGGAATCTCCAACAGCATGGCTGACACCAGGTACACACACTCCAGCAGCTCCAGGTTAATGTGCATGTGGAACGGCACCTGTCAAAGCAAAGTAACAATAAAGTTCTGTTGATCACATCACATGTGAAGCCTGATCTTCGAGTGTTTCCAATGTCAGGACAACACTGTTTTATCTCAAGTAAGATCACTGCATGTGGAAGCTACAATGAGATGTTCATTGATAAAGAGAAACATATTAGGAAACTGTAACCTGTGTCGCTAAATAAAAATGTAACGAAACATGAGCGAAGACTTCACTGCTCCCGCTGGACTTACTTGTCTTCTCTTTTCGATCTTCTCCTGCTCGGCGTTCCTCTCCTGCATGTTCCTCATGAGCAAACCCTGACCCAGGAGCTCCTTGGCACGGCCAGAGGACTGGATATCCAGCAGGGCATTGTGGGCATCTTTTATCATGCCCTGTCTGAAAGCACAGATGCCCAGTTGGACCATGGTTCTGTTGTACAGGATCTGGGACAAGGAAAACAAAGTGTGTTTCAATCTTTCACATTCATAAATGCAAGTTTGCTTGTGTATTGCGTTTTTGTGTCTGTCTACCTGTACGGGCGGGTCAGCGTGCTGGATGTTGTCCTGCAGGTGGCTCATCAGCATCAGGTCACGGGCCTGGTACCAGCGTGAATGCAGAGCGTGGTGATAGATGTGGCAGAGGATCGCACAGGTACGGATGCGGTCGGTGCGATCTTTGGCATAGATGAACTTGCAGAGACGGTCCATGATCACAGCGCTGTCCTCCCCCTCGCACTCCTCCTGGTCCTGCTCAGACTACACAGTGGACAGAGACATGTTACACTTACTAATAAACTCACAGGCAAGCTCTTGACAAGACACTGTGTTAACATATTAACACAATCACATAGAGACGTATTTATACCAAGAACAGAAACTTCAGTTCTTTCTTGCTGAGTCACTTCTGTGCTTTTCTTACCTTGGTCTCTCCCTGGAGGGCCAGGCTGCGCCGGTGGGCCTTGTAGTCAAACTTGTAGTAGGTGTGCATTATCCTGCGCAGGTAGACGCGGCAAATCTCTTCAGTGCTGCCCTTGTTCTCCAAATAGTCGAGCAGCCGGTCAATGACGCCACAAACTCGTCCCTCGTCTTTCAGATTGTCAACATATTCTGGAGAAATGGACCAGGGAGAGATGTTTGACAACACAAATCAGGGATTCTTTAAAAATAATTTTCCAATAATCAATGTTTACTTTGACTTCTTAAATCACAATACTTATTTATTCTTGAGTCTGTTTTGCTGTATTCACTCACCTTGTGAGTGGGGATCAGTGTTTTGCATGATCTTGGTGAACTCTTCATCCATCCTCTCCACCAGAGTTAAGACACATCCACGCACCCTGAATGGCTGACAAACACAATAGAGGCTGATATTTAGTTTTTGGATCTGGGTTACGAGACATCCACGCAGTGTGCAGAAGGTAACAAACTACATTAATCTGCCACTACATTAACTAATATTATTGGTTTTAATGTTGTGGCTGAGGTGTTATTCCATGAAAAGTACAATATATATATGAAGCTTCCATAAACGAAAATGAAGCAAAATATTAAGACAACTAGAACACGCTGCCACCTCAAAGTATCTGTAATGAAAAGGTAAAAAACCAACACTACACACCTGGTCAGAGATTGCCAGACTCTCGCTGTCCTCTGCAATGTTCTCCCCAATGAAGATGTTGTTGTTCTCCTCAAAGAGGATGTCCAGCAGCTCGTTGATACAATCCAGGCACTTCTTCCACATGTCGGCCTAAAGGGAACAAAGACAGCTTCACATTCAAACACCTGGATTGGATTTCAATAGGCCAATATATAAATACACACACCGGGTCTCTCTGTTGTCTTGTTTTGTTGTTATGTTTAGAAGAACAGTCTGTCCTACCTTCATGAAGGCTGCCAAGTTGGGGTTGTAGTCATACAGGGAGGCGATGATGTTGAACTTAATCTTGACCAGGATACCTTGACCCAAGTTATTCTCAGCAGAGATGGCAGCCAGAAGATGGAGAAGTTCAATCTGGGCAGCCCTGTCACGTGGAGAATTTTTCATTAATTATTAATGGTGACATTCATTTTTAAGTCACACGTCACTTTATCTATCGCAATTAACAACAAATAAGTTACACACGTGTGAAAAAGATTTTTAGATTAAACGTGTTATGTGTTGATTTTATTTGATTAGTTTGATCATGAATGAAAAATGCAGTTGTGTTCACGAGGTTGTTACCTGTCTGTGCCCTTCTTGCCTCTTGCTTGCAGGATCTCATGCAGCTTCTTCACCACCACTGTTGTGTTTATCTCTGTGCCCTTGGCAAACATCTTGGGCTTTTCCTGACGCCATTGGTGGACACCATATTTTTCAATATATATTTTTTGGCTGTTTCTTTTGACACAAACTGATGTTTACAAGCTCCTTCACATTTTGTAAAATCACCTACAATTGTCTTTAAAGTTTTATCATGATGTTTTTTTTTTTACCTTAATATGAATTAATGAAAGCCTTTACTGTCACTTTTAAATATAATACGAATAATAATAAAACATTTCAGAGTGCTATTTAAAAATAATATAATAATAATAATAATCAGTCTCATCACCTTGACCATTGGGGCGCCTCCCTTCACTTTCTCCCAGCCTCCCTCAACCTCCTCTCCTCCCTCCTCCTCAGCCTCGTCCTGGAGCCGCTCTTTCTTGTGCTTCTTCTTCTTCCCGACCTTCTTTTCGCTGGACTTCTCAGTCTCCTGGGCCCTGAGGGCAGACACAGAAAGTGACGCATTTAAAGCAAAGTAATGACATACAGTAATTTATTTTTTTAAAATGTGAAAGACAGTGTGTGTCTTTTCTGCTGTGAAGTTAAAGGATGTGCAAATGGAGACTCACTTCTTGAGGAAGACCACAGCCAGGTTAGCACCTTTTCCCTCCCCTTCATCCGAGCTATCGCTGCCACTGTCAACAGTATCTGAGCCCCAGTCTTCCGGATCATCATCATCCTCACTGGAAGAGGACTCATCCTGTTAGGGAAAAACTCATCAGTCTAGGTAATCCCCTCACACAGGAGTTCTCTAACACAAGAATTACTAGATTTTTCGTCGTCAGCAGATTATAATGTGGCCTCTTACCCCAGATCCCTTGGCAGACTTGAGGAACTTGCTGGCGTCTGGAGTAGGCTCAGGTTTTTTCTTCAAGAAGGCCTTGGCTGTCTCATCGCCTGTCTCTCCTTCACTCTCAGAAGAGGAACCTTGAGGAACAGAAATCAGGATGATGCCACATAATAGTGAAATTAACAGTTGTCCCTCAGGACTGTGAAAGGTTTCATATCTATTCTAAAGGTTTGAAGTTTGTTTAATTACATGTGCACTTTTAGAGAGATCATCAGATTTCACAAAAACAAACATCAGCAGCAGGCTTACCAGAATCCTCTGGCTCCTTCTCCTCCTCTTCATCCGCAGACTCCTGTGGGTTCTAAAAGACACAGAGGGAATTTTATTTTACCTTTGATAACGTTATGTGCTCTTTTGCAGCATCACCCTGTTGTTAGTTACAACTGGGTCCAGTACAACCACAGAATCTACCTCTAGGATTTAAAACATTAAACCACTGAGGAAGTTTCCAAATTTACCTCCTTGTATGCAGCAATTTCTGATTCGTAATCTCTGTTGTACTTGCGGATCTTCTGACGTAGAGTGCTGAGGGCCTTTGCATTGTTCTTGTTCATCTTCTTCTTGCCCTCTTTGTCCTCCCAAAGCTGGACAGAAAATAATGTTAATTATTTCAACTGTGCTGCAAAAATGGAGACTTGAGGTGAATAACCAAGGTTAATACCACTAAACTTCAAATTTACTATTTAAATGTTTGTGGTTTAACTCTGGGGTTCTCACCTGGTTCAGATAGTCCTCCAGGTCGGCAAGAAGACGAATGTAGAAAGGAGGAACACCTTCTTTGTCCACTATATTCTTGCTTTTGAGGAAGGCTCGACATAGCTGCTCAAATTCCTCCAGACATTTGGCCATGTCACGGATCTTCATAGCATTGCGGATGGTCTTGATGAGGTTGGTCAACTCCTCAAATCTTAAGATTTAAAAATGAAAGCATTGAAAACCAAACTATATAAGAAAATCTGTGTTTTTGTTATGTATACCAGCTTAAAAAGATGCTGCACCAACCTTTTGTCTTTGGCGCTGCGCACCACTCTCTTAGTGTCCTCCTCATCATCACTAAGCAGCAATGACCTGTGAAAAACATACAGATGTGTGAGACAACGGAAATAATTATAATTTGATTCCGAGTGATGGAATTCATGGCAAGTTGTACTGACTGCTTGAAAGTTGTCCCGGGTGCTTTGGGAGTGATCTCATCGGCAGACGAGGACTCCTCTGACTCACTGTCAGACCCGGTGGCGAAGAAACGAGACATTGTTGAAGGTAGCTGTCAATCTGTAAAGGCAAAATGAAATGTGTGACCAACGATTTTAATAACTTTAAGAAAGTTCAGGGAACATTTGACCTATTCAGTTAGTTAGTCAGCAGCATTACCCGACTACTACTGGATGGATCACCGTGAAACTCGGTGGAAGGATGTGGTGTGGGTCTGGGAATAACCTGTTCAATTTTGGTTGTGCATCCAGGGCTTTTAACTTTTTGTCCTTTTCCCAGGAAAATATTGCATGAACCTTGATGAGAACACCAGGCACATCTGTGGGACTGATACATACGAATGTGTCCTGACAGGTGACTGAATTTAAGAAAACAGTTGGTCCTCGGTGGAAGTGTGTGTTCTACTTTAAGTTAAAACTGCTTTAAATCCTGTGTTTAGTAAGATGTGAATGAAATCTCCATAACTAACAATGACCGAACCTGTTATGCAAACTGTGGTTGCACCAGTGAAGCAGGTGGATTTCATATTCCCCATTTAAACAACTACACAACACTGTTACACACCATTGCTAAAAGCTAACACACGTAATATAATGAACTAGTGTGAGACTGTAGCTAACATGAACATGACATGAGTCACATGCTCCTGTTTGTGTTTGTTTTTTTACTGTGTGATCTTAGTTTTCAATCTGAAGACTTCTGATGTTTACATTTTAAATTTATATATTTAGAACTTCCGGTAAAGAGTACCGGTGAAGTTAGCATCCCGCGGCGGTAGCGGTGCTAACGCTATTCGTCCCTAAGCTAACGTTACCTTTGACAGATGGACCATTTAAACGACGAGCTTCTATGAATAAATTCAAAACTACAGCTACGTCGTTTACAAACGACACTTTACAAAGTCAACATAATGTGGAGGGGAAAAAAACGCCACAGCCGATAAGCTAACAAGCTAACACAGCGGTTACATCAGATAAAACAACGCAGACACGTTGCTGCTAAGCTAACGCTAGCGTCGCAACCGGGGCCTCCCCGCATGTGCAGCCGGCGAACAGACTCCTCTAACGCGAACAACGTCCCCGTGGTTTGATCGAATGCGGAGGCAGACTCACCTATGTGCGGGTGAAAGATGTCCTGTGGTGTGTCTGTCCACTCTGGGTCGTTATTAAATCCAGTTTTGCTGCACAGCGGCCACAGTTAAACACGAGAGACTCTGAGCGGAGGACTCGCGTCACGAAAGAGGACGTTCACAACAGTCCGCCGGGCCACACTGCCACCCAGCGGCGGACCACGTGTACAACTGGTAGCACCTCATATTTTATATAGAAGCCAACAATAATAATGTGAATAAAGTTTATTTGTATAGAACTTATAGAAAATACAAAGACATTCAACTCTTCAGATGTTTCACCACCATGTTTATTTCAAAGATCTCCCAAGGCCACACAGCCTTTCTCCGAGTGAGGTAACACCTTCAACTGCATATCAGAGGGTTTAAACACAAAGAGTACAAACACACACATATACACCATCTTCATTTCAGCACTGTCCATTAGTTCACTTGAATATTCACTCTGGCAGTGGACAAAGCTTTCTCATATCTTCTCAGTGTGACATTATTTAAGGCGAGATGAGGAAGAACATTCAAATATTACGGTTCAATTCATAACTATAAGATTAATTTATAACTGCATCCATGTCAGGAGTGCAGTTTATATTATGTGCACACACATCGGACCAAACCTCAGTCGTGCAATCACAAGTTAACCAAAGTCACTATTCTACACTGAGGAGCTTTAATATAAAATACAATATTGTATTGTCAATACTATAACATATGAATATTAATAAAATTAGTAGATTTATTGAATAGAATATACATTTACAGTAAAACCATAGCTTTAATTTTTTTTAAATAACAACAGATGTGATATTAAAAGTTCAGTGGGATTTCAGTGGCACATTCAGCATTCTACTCCTTGTTTACTGAACTTCTGCAGCTCTGGAAAAAATTTAAAATATGCACAAATTAAAACACAACAAACGTTTGAATTATATTTCTTTCATTTCATAACATCACACGTTGTCTACTAAATCCTTTTTAAGGAATTACTTGAGATGAAACATAGTGATGTCATACCTTCTTTCAGTCTCTTAATTTCTGCTGATTTAATTTTGAGCTGCTCTTCAAGCATGACACATTTGGCACAACCTGCAACACAATGTGAATCATTACTGTGGACAAGACAGTGAGTTCCTCATTTATACTTTCTCTGTGGCTCCTGCTTCCTCCAACCAACACTAACTGTATGTTACTATCCAGAGACACAAGTTTGAGCTCTATTTCAACTGTGCTACTGTAACAAGTCTGAATAGATAACATGTGTGCATCTGATCTCATTTCTGGATTATTAACAAACCAGTTTAAGAAACGGCAACAGATCAGTTTTCTTTATAGCTCGGGAAATCTACACAGACTATGTTTAACAGAAGATGTCAGCTACAGGAAAAAAATGAATGTGCCGTAAAACTATTTAAACACAGACACCCAACTCCACAGATCTGATTATACGGATGTTCAGCCTGTATATGAAGCCTTGAAAAAATAAAAACCTGACACACAAGAAAAGAACAAAAAGGTAACCTCACTTCCTGCTGTCCCAACTTACCATGTCCTTGTGGTTTAGCTGGCTGAGCTCTATGGTTGTTTACAGGCGGTTTCAAGGTTCTGCTTCTGCTGGTTGCGATGCAAGAGGTCATGTTTTCTGCAGCAGCAGTACTGACGGGCACTACAGCATCTGAAAGCAAGAAGCACGCTGGGTAAATAGCTCACAAAGAGTCAAGAAGAGTTTTGCAGAAGAGTGTGATATTTTCCCAAACCAACCATCTCTTTGGGCTTTAGCTGGTAAAACTCTCTGGTTGCAGCTGGCTCCAGGTCGTTTCGGGTTTTTAAATCCGTTCACAGCATCACAGGCAGTCGAGGCCTCAGCACCACTGGATGATAAGGGACCGTCTGACAGGAGGGGGAAGAAAAACTGAGGCAGTGAGCTTAGTTGTTTTAAACACTATCACAACAGCTGAATTGTCTTAGTCATGGGGGTTAGATCTAACTATGAAAGTCCTAAAAAATTAAGTTGTATTGTACAATTTCAGTGCATCAGTTTTTACCTGTTTTCTTCCTCTTTGCTGTTGGCAAAGGTTCACCTCTGGTTAAGGGGTGTTTCTTTGGTTGTGTAATCTTTGCCCCAGGGTGAGCAGCTGATTGTGCGTGAAGAGGAAGAAAAAATAAGTATGTTACAAGACAGCGTTAGACAATACTTCAGGTCCTTAGTCCTCAACGATTGCATTTATACTTTTCCTATTTATAACTGACTACAACAATCAAAGCCTACAGTCCGACCACTGATATTATTACCTGCAGGCCCTACGTTACTTTTTGCTGAAGGAGGCCTGAGCCCTGGTGCAGATCTCTGGATGCCCGATGGTATGCTACACATAGGTGGTCTCGGCAGGCCAGAGTTGGGCTGTTTGAGTGCTGACGTCAGCAGAGGGAAAATGGAGATTTTTTAAATAATGTTCAACCACACACTTCTCATCCACAAGGAATTACTGTATTCTATTCCAGTCTAAAAAGATGATCACATCCTGCTTACCAGTTGTTGTAGCACGCAGGTTGTAGGAGCTTGATATCCCTGTGGTCTTAAATACAGAGGAACAGAAGATGTCAACAAGAGACGATACTGACAAGACCAAAAGAGTTCATTTGATATATTTCTTTAAAAAAAAAAAAGACTTAAACATTCAAACCCTACCCCCTGTGCTGAAGGTGCAGGGTTCTTCACAGCTTCAGTCTGGGTTCTCTGTCTCGTCATGGGCAGTCTTGATGTTGCCGACTCACATTTCCCTGGAAGTGTGGAGGTTGGGTTGTATTTCAAAAGCTGTGATGCAGCTTTCAAAGGAGGCAAGAGGGATTTCGCTGCGGGCTGCATCAAGGTTTTTCGGTCTGTGATGATATTTAATGGAATGTCTGGCGGCACCTGAACGACCGGCTTACTGGGCCCCTCCCCATACAGCTTTTTCTGCGCTGCGATGGCTTTGCTCTCGTCCTGTTCGGTGCTGAAGTGGAACACTTTACAGTGAGTCATCGGCGTTGAAGTAACCAACGAGTCTACCTTTAAATCTAAGGTGTCATCCAAGTTGAACGTGTTTGCTTGGTTGTTCTCCGTATCCATGCCTTGATGGCCCAAACTTTCTGAAAGGCCATCTGGCACAGATTGCGAATGATCCTTTGTCTCACGTCTACTAGCTGCAGGAGCTACATCTACAGCTGAATGAGCTTCAAATGTCTTCTCACGTGTGTCGGCCATCTTGACATCTGGGTCTGTACTAGTTGTCCCATTTTGTTTTGATACTTCAGGAGTGTGGACATCAGAAGTGTGGTCTTTAGAGTTGGTGGTTGGATTACAGACTTCTGAAGGAGAGGGTTTGTCCAAAGTATTCTGGTGACTGTCGCTTGAGCTTGTTTCTGTTATTGTTATTGTGCCATTCTGTTTACAAGGTTTACTATCAAAAGTGTTCTGGAGGCAAAAGGTAGCTGCACTGGCTTCCCCTAAAGTACTACTGCCACAGGATTTCTGAAGAGAATGCATATCAAAAGTTCCGTTCTGCACATCACACGAGCCACTTGACTTAGCAGCGGAACTATTCTGATTCGTATCGAGGGAGGTTTCAGTAGTGTTCTTCACGTCAGCACTAACCTGACCTGCAGCCACACTTTCTGATGCGGAGCTGTTTACATTAGATGGTGGAAGATCCAGAGTCTTGTTCTGAGGGGAGGACATTTGATCAGTGGTGTTTAAATGAGTGGAGGGACTCAGATCAGCAGCCGGAACAACAGTGAATGTGTTGTTCATAGATCCTCCTGATATTGGGCTTGTTTCTGGCTCTTTGCCCGTCAACTCAGTATCACAACGTGAAAGCAGCTCTTCTTTGTTAGCGTCCACAGCGACAGAAGTTTCCACAGGTTTCACTTGAATCTCAGTGGTGACATTTTTCAAACTGGTGTTACTCTGCACATCAGCAGTAGAGAACTGTGACGCCGCACTCTGAACTGACATGTCGCTGGAGGAGCTTATGTCACGAGTCACATTAGCAGAATGGATCCCAAGTGTGTCCTCAGCTGATGTTTGACTCTTCATGTTTTGTCCACTGAGCTCTGGGGAGGATGTGTTGTTTTCTAGAGCACTACCCACAGAAATATCCCGAGTTGCTTCCAAAGAAGATTTCATGTTTTCCTGCACGCACTTTGAGTTTTCGCTAAACGAGCTTGTCGTGTTGGTGACACTGCCAGTTAGAGTACTTGACAGTTCTTCAGTTTGCATCATGACCGGCCCGTCAGGCTCCGCCACAATTAATCCGCTGAGCTCTGACGAAGGCCTGCTGTGTTTCACAGCGTCCACTGGGGAAACATCCTGTGTAACTTCCATTGTGGAAATTTCTGCTGCTGGTGAAAACTCTGAATCACGAGTAACATCGAGGAGAGTAATTTCTGGGAAATATCTGTCATCCAGCCAGCGCTCGCGCTGACCCTTCCTTTCAGGGGTGTCAACCATCTTAGCATTCAGGTCTGTACCAGCTGTTGTGCCATTATGTTTTGACAGTTTAGGAGGCTGGATGTCAGAAGTGTTTCCTTCAGTGCTAGTCATTTGCATTGTGGAATCATATGTACAATCAAGGAGAGTAATTTCTGGCAGGCATTCGTCCTGCAGCCAGTACACAGGAGAATCCTTATCGCCCGACGGTCGATCAGAATGGCTACTAGAGAAATTTGAGTTGGGATGTTGGCTCGACCCTCCAGTGGATTTTTTACAACTTGCTGTGGTAACACCAAAGGGAAAAAAGGGAACACCAAGGTGAGGACTGTTCCCACATTTCAAAGGCTCTGGAGATGGACATTTGTTTCCTATGTTTAAGTATTTTAAAATTGGTGTTAAAGCAGACTGAAGTCCAGACATCCGAGACCTTGTCTTGGCTCCACCACTGCTGCTAACTGGAGCTGGGGTTGAAAAGGTGCAGGTGTCAGGGAGAGGCTTATTTTCTCCACTTGGATCTGCAGAGGAATATTCAGCCACATCTCCTTGGACCTGGAGCTGTGAGGTCTCAGCTGCAGCGGTGATTCCGGGTGGAATATTTTCACGAAATTCATCAACTTCTGCATTTTCCTGAACAAATGAGGTTCGCACTGTTGTCTCATTGGCCATTCTGGTGAACTTCCTGTCTTCTTTCACACGAGAAAGACGTCTTTTTTTCAGGTGTCTTCTCAGATGCTGTTACTGCAGCCTGTTGATTAATAGATTAAATGAATAAAAACATATTTTCATTACCGTCAACATACTAGTCTGAAGTATGAATCTGGTTTAGATTAGATTCAACTTTATTGTCATTGCACAAGTCTCAAGTACAAAGCAACAAAATGGTGAGCCTGATCTCAGATCAGCTGATTAAGGTCTTCTTGTTGTTCCTAGAGGCTGATCGGTGGCTTTTAAAACCTTTTTTTAAATCTGGGTAAATATTAATTTATTTTATTGCTCTTTTATCCTGTTGTGAAGTAGTTTCCAACTTTGTCAAGACAAGTGCTATTACTGTTTTTATTATTATTGTTATTATTATTAGAGGCAGATCTGAGAAGGCTTTAACACAGGATTTCGTCGTAAGACAAACACCTTTTTAACATCTTACAACAGATAACAATTTCGATAACATTTTTCATATCATCATGACAAATGTCACATTATTATTTCTTTAAAGTTCAAAGACGAAGGTTGTGGTTTTAATCTTTTCTTCATGAGCAGAACATAAACAACAGAACATTTTACAAATCTGACATAGATCAACTTATCACTGTGCATACATGATGATGAGAATCATAAATAGGAAGTTGTGGAACTGTTGCACTGATGTATTATTAACTTAGTTCAGCCACAACATTAACATTCAGGTAACTTCAGTAACCTGAGTCGACAGAGAGACAGGAAGATAAACAACAAACATGTGAGGTGACAGATCCGAACGAAGCTAAGCTAACGTTAGCCCGGTGACGTGACCGTCAGTTAGCGGCTTTGTGACAACTCACCTGTGTCGGCAGGAACTTTCGAGTGATCGTTTATCTGTGGAAATACTGTTACTGGTTTTCAAAACGCTCGAACCTGAAGCACGAGTCCGCTGATGTTCGATAAAAGTCAGAATTACGAGCGAAAAGTCACATCTCGAGCTCCCAGCAGCACAGAGCGGCCGCTCCAGTTCAAAATAGCGGCTACCCTCGCGCTCATTGGACAGATCCGACCAATCAGAGCCGAGCACTTCTTCTTCGTGTGCACCATGGGTGAGGACGGTGCAGCACTGCCACCTGCTGTCTCCAAGAGAATTAGAAGTGAAGTACTTCTCATTGAACCCTCTGAGAAAAACAAGTGAAGCTTTATTACAAAACACGACGGAGAAAAAATAACACGACACGATTAACATCTCACCGTTTTATCCAGTTTTACAAATACAAAAAAAAATACATCAGTTTGTACATTATCATCAAATTTTCCCATGATTCATCTTCATCACTCGTTTGTGGGTTTCCTCAGCTTGTTCTTCAGCTCAGACATAAGTGGATTTCCAAATCTGGGGAGACAATTTAAAATTAAAAATAAGAATCAAACTTTATGTCTCTTTTGTGCAGAATGGCACTTTTATTTTATTTTTTATTTTTACCCTGGATGTCGAGGTGGCTTCCATTTAGGTTTGTGTTTTTCCTCGTCCTGTTTGATCGTGTCACTCTTCTCCTCAGGCTTTGTCTCAGGTTCCTGTTGACGTGAAGACATTTTAAACATGCACACACCTCAACACTTGGCATTCACTTTTGATGAAGGTTAACGATACCTGTGAAAAGGTTTCTGAGCTTTTTTCTTCTGTCATCACACGTTGTGTCTTTTTTAAAGCAGGAAAACCTGCACCAATCCCTGAAAAACAAAGAGAGGTGACATTAGTTACAAACTATGAAACATAACCCAAAATGAGAATGCAAATGTCCAGAGTCAGTTGCTCATACACGTAGAAGAGGATGTGAAATATAAGAGACAATGAGACTCATGCATGAAAAACTCCTGTAAATGTCTGGAACCAATTTTCTGGGGTTCATGTCTGGAAACGACTTAAAGTGACCCGTACCTGGAAGTTTGATTCCGATGCCCATGCGTCCCAAAGGAACACCTGCAGGTACTTTGACCGGCAGACGTGAGGAAGGCGTGGGATCGGCTGAAGGCATGTGCAGGAGGGAGCGGGGATCTTTGGGCGGCCTGACACGAGGGTTTTTCACAGCAATTCTCGATCTTTGTGCAGTGAAGTCCAGAGTAGTTGCGTCCACCTGCAAAGACAAAACCAACTGAGCTCACACCATCTATGCAGGTTTTGAATACTTTGACATTAAAACATATTATTTTTGAAACAATGCATCAATCTAAACCTGAGCTTTTGTTTGCTCTTCCGTCACCTCAGCGATATCCTCTGACCACACGGTGTCCTGTGGTTGCTCCAACGTCTCAGCACAGGGGACATCTTCTGATTCCGTCAGTGTAATTTCGTCCTGTAACAAAACCTCTGAGCGACTTCCAGGTCGTCCTGATTCAGCACGTTTGGTTGCATCAAGAGTGTCAGACGCAGCTGCCTCACGATGTGCATCTGCATCTTCAGTTTTCTCATCTGTGTAAAGAATGTCAGGATCTTCTTCTCCAGAGTCGTTCCAGTCGATCTCTTTCTGTTTTCCAGTTTCATTTTCTGCTGATTCAACTCGTTCTTCATCTGTTTTGTCTTGAGATTTATCTGATCTCACTTTTAAACATCCAGCCTCTTGTGATATCATCCCAGATTCAGGGAGAAATCCTGTCTCAGCGCTCGATTCCACCTCTTCCAGATCCAATTGCCCCGTCTTAGCTGCCTCCTCCATCGATACATCCTGACATTCAAAGTCTGGTTGCCGCGTAGACAGTTCAGAGACGTCTGCTGATTCTGCACCAGCCAACAAGTCGCAGAAGTCCTGCAAGGACCCAGAGCTCGTTGTCTCCAGTAGAAGTGATTCACTGTGGTCTGTGCTCCACTCACTGAGAGACTGGTCCAATAATCCAGACTCTGCTGCTGATGGAGACATTTCTGTGTCGCTCACTAATCCAGATTCTCCTGACGTTGACTCCACAAGCTTCTCGTTCTCCTCTGTCTGCAACCACGGCATTTCCTCCTCTGTCTCATCTGATTGCTCTTCTGTTTTGGCCAGTTGTCGTCCAGGTTCAGGCCCTTCTCCTCGTTCCATGCAGTCGGCGTCCTTGAACGATGCTGTCTCTATCCACAAATCAAGGATTTCTTTATCATTCAGGTCTTGACATCCACTGACGGAGCTCTTCTCTGATTCTGTCACAAGTTTTTCCATTTCCTTCGTTGCTATCTCATCCAAATCCTTTGGTTTGCCTTTGGTGGTCATTACTTTATCTGCTGCTGCAGGGTCCTCGTTGCTCGCCTCAGATGCTTTGTCTGATGGTTGATTTTTACTCTCCAACGACTCATCTGGTCTCGATAATTCCGATTCTGCAAACCAAATATTTTTGTTGTTTTCAGAAGTTAGCTCAGCTGCCAGATTCAAAGTTCCCATCTCATTTTTGTTCTGCACTTCGTCTTCTATTTCTTGCTCCTCAGCTCCAGAACTTGTTTCATCCATATCTATCCCTGCATCTTGCATTTCTACACTTCTACCTTCAGGTAATTTAGGCTCGGCTGATTGTTTCGTAAATCCAGATCGGATAATATCTTCTAAACCCAGAGTCTTTATTCTGTTCTGCTCAGCATCTCCTGACACTCGATGGAAGCTCATCTCTGTCGTCCTTGGTTCTTTAGCCTTGAGGCTTTTTAAAGTTCTGTCTGTTGCAGCTCTCATGGTTTCCCCATCACCTCCTGCAGCATCTTTGGTTCCACTTAAACCTTCATTAGTTTCAAAGTCAACCAGCAGCTCTTCAGTTCCATCCTGCTCTTCTGTTTTCTCATCTGTTGCACCAACGTGGGTCTCAGATTCTTTTTCCAACTGTCCGACCCTCATCTTCAATGTCTCGTCTTTGTGTCCCAGACCTTCAAATGCTGGTTCCACAATTGTCTTCTCAGTCTCTTGTGGTAAACCAGCGTCTGTAAGCTGCAATATCATGGTATCCTCTTTCTTAATATCTTCGGTTCTTTCTGGTGAGAAACCACCTCCAGTGCCACTGTTTTGAAGGTTCTCTGACTCCTTTCTCTCCACCTCTTCTGGTAATCGGGTGGCAACGATTTCCTTGTAATTTCCTACTTCAAGGAACCTTTGTGTTGTATTTTCATCTGGCCCAGGCTCATTGTTGTATTCAGGAACTCCCTCTTGTGTTCCCTTGCTGGTCGGAGAATGCAGCTCCTCCAACACAACAGCCCGGCCTTCGCATAACCCCGGAGGAATATTTTCGAACGCTCCACTTATTTCCTGTCCAGTTTGGCCTTTCGGTTTTACTGTAACTAAAGCGGTTGTATATGCTGCTTCCATGTGACTTTCCTTGTTGTCTTTAACTTTACTGGAAAAACTCTCCACTTCTGTTTGGTCCTTATCAGGAAACCTCTCTTCCACTGAAACCTCTGTTGTTGTCACATTAGATTCTTCGATCACACCCTCACTCTCTGGTGTTGTGGTTTGCTCTTTGGTGTCTTTGGCCACATCCTCTTTTTCTTTAACTTTAAAACCAGCTGTTTGCAGCTCTGCTTCAGCATTCTGCACGACTTCATTACATGCAACATGTTCAGTAAAAATCTCTTCATCTATCGCCTGGTGGTCTTCAGCCTCATTTTCTTCCCCACCCAGCTCCCCCATCACATGCTCATGTCCAACGTCCTCTGACACTTTGCCACTTTTTCCGAGGGTCAAATTTACTTCATCATCCAGCCAGGAAGAGCCTGGGTCCCCCTTGACTTCTCTGTTATTTTCTGAGAGCTCTTCACAGACGTGTAACTGATGTTCGACTTGTTTTCTCCTCACATCGGAATTGTTTTTGTTTTCCAAGCCCAGCTGTGACACCCCATCACGGTTTTCTCCTTCTTCTGCTGCATCCCTCTGCACTCTCGCCTCTTCTACGTTACGCTCCTCCTCTGAGCTGAAATCTGCCATCCCGCACAACGTTATCTCAGCATCTTCCATCTCCAAAGTTGGCTCTTCTTCATAGTGCGTTTTATCATCTTCTCCCTTTTCATCCATTTTTCCGTGGTCATCCTGTGCCTCCTCCTCAGCACCAACCTTTCTTCCACTTCCCCTCAATTCTTCACTCATGTCATCATCTGTAATATTTAGAGCCCCTTCATTCTCGGTCGTGTCAACTTGCCCGTGAGTGTACGATATCTGATCTCCATCCTCTACTTCTTTGTCTTCTTTTACAGCTTTAACCAACCTTGCACCATCAGTTCCTGTTTGGCTGAACTGTTCCTCTTTGGTGTTCTCACCCTCCTCAGATGCTTTGCTCTCAGGGGCTCCACTCAGCTGGCTTCTGTACTGCATGCTTTCCTCCTGCTCCCAGGCAACAACTGCCCGCGATAAACTAAGCAGAGAGGTCGTCGCACGAGGCAGCTCCTCATCGACACCCTGTCCACCGGAGTCCCCGTCTGGGTGACGGCTGTCAGCAGGTTCACCATCAGCTGCAGATTGCTGGAAGGAGTCTTGCTCATTGTCCTCGGTGGTAATGGGCTCTGGATGGAGGAATCTGTTCACGGCTCCGGTTATATAGTTCTGAGAAGATATGGAGAGAAAGAATCGTTTTATATTCAATGTTTTCAATTCTCATTTTTACTCATCCCGTTATTTTCGTTATGTTTTCATTTGTGTTGTCAGTTAATTTGTTTGCCAGTTAGTTAGCAGCATTATACAAACTGTGATTGCGTGTGTGTGTCATGTATATATGAAATATTCATATGAAAAATAAGAAACATTAAAATCCCATAGAGCTGTTCATCATAGGTATTGATACAATAAAATGCAGCATTGATTTGGAATCAGTCGGTCACATGAGAAGGAACAAAAGTATGTTTTCTTAAAAAACATGAATGTTTATATTAAATACAAGTCATGGTAAAATCCTATAACAAGAAGAGTATCCTGTTTGTGTAGGGAACCAATACAATTTGGCATTTGTTTGCAGTCAGTGGGTCCCATGACATGGAGACCATTGACAAAATATGTGTTTGTTTAAATGTAAATATTCATATAAACACCAGAAGCACTAACCTCCAGTTAAAACTGTGTCTTATTGGACTAAATCTACAATTCAGCATTGTTATGGAAGAAAGCAATGTCAATATTTTTTAGAATAGAGAACAAATGACCAACAAAAGAGATGTCCTGTTTGTGAAGGGTAGTAATAATATCTGATATGAGTTGGAGGCCATTTAAAAACACGCAGCTACTTCCTATATTCAAACATGAATTTAGTGACAGGTGAAAACCCTGAGATGTGATCCCGTGAGAGTGAACCTGAAGCTTCACTGTGGTTCAGTGATCAACTTGTATTGAGAAGCAGCAGCAGCAGCAGCTCACCCAGACGGTCCACAGAGTCCTCTCCACCCGGGAAATGGCGTTACTGTCCGGGTCCATCTTCTGGCTTCCTGCTCCTCCGCCCTCCGAACATCTACTCAAACCAAAGCTGATCAAAAGTCCTTTGAGATGACGTCAAGCTGCACGCGAACATCCAGCCGGGTTCGATTCCTGCTCCACTGACTCACACTTGATATCCGGTGGATGAAGAAGAGGAAGAGGCTGATGATCGCAGCTGAGTCTCTGCTGCTGCTGCGTGTTGCACAGTTTGCGGATGTGACAAATCCGACCACAGATCACAGACTTTATTTCCCAGTCACCGTTGAAACCAAACCTTATGATCACGATGGAGAAGCACCAGGAGATGGAGCTCTTATCTGAAAATACTCCAACACGTGCATGGTGCAAAACTTCCCCTCACAGATAAAGTGATGTCAGTCCCTGCAGAACTAAACGTGACCTATCAGTGAGTGTTTACATCTGGATAACTTTATGTCAAATTAGAGATATTACAACTGAGGGGACTTTTATGTAATTTATGAAAATTACAATTTTATTTCCTTGACCTTAGAAATAAAAGGTACATTTTTAGAGGCCTAAGTGAATTCAGAATTCACCTTTAACTTCAATTTGTTTTATTCTTATACCTGTGAATCTTAAAATATCTTCCAATCGTTTCCTGCTTGCCATCAATTCTTCATTTTCAACTGCTGAAGCACCTCGTAACTGTGTTTTTAAAGCTGCTTCATAAAGAAAAAGTTTATTACATGTATTTATATTCAAATGCAGAAACAATTAAACACCTTTTAATTTCAAAATCCTCATTTTGAACCTTATTGTTCAGGTGTCACCAGTCATTTAAAAGCAGCTGAGGTTAGTGAAGGCCTAAATATTATCTGATGCAACTGAGTCAGTTTCCTAATGTTGATACTGAGGATTAAGAATTAAATAAAAACTAAAAGAAGAAACAGTTTCAGTGGTTTGCAAGGTCTTTCTGCGTGGAGTTAGCACGTCTCTCCCTGTGTCTGCGTGGGATTTCTTCAGGCTCCTGTGTGAACTTCCTCCCACAGTCCACACACATGCAGGTTGAGGTTAGGTCAGTTCTAAGTTTGCCATAATGTATTGCATTAAAGACACTGTAAAGTTAATCTGTATAGTCGAGTGAATCGGGTAGCTGCTAGAATTTTATGGAACACAAAATACAAAAACCTGCTTTCATATACAAGGAATAAAAACGGGTTTACAGCATCTATTGTTTGTTTCAACTCTTTGACATTGCACAGATATGACTGTAGCTGAACCGTTTGTGCAATGTGACAAGGGGAAGTTCTCAACTAAACATCTTAATTAGTCATTTCAGCCGAGTTGCTGTGGTCAGAGTGTTGGGGACAAAAAAAACCAGAAGTGTATTTTGAAATGAGAACTTATTTCAGTGGTTAGTGAAGCACAGTTACAGAAAGACAGCTGCTTGACCACAGTAACTTGGCCTGTTCACAAATCTTTTTAGAAAATATATAAAAACAAATTCCCAGAGGTTGATTATTCTTGTAAAAGTCTTTGTACAAAACTATGAACATTTGTAAAAATCATGGAGTTGGAAGAAAAAACGCGTGACAACAGATCCTAATAAATAAAGTTGACATGACTACTTTGTATTCACTATAGAGAGGTACAGTATATTAGACATATTATATATTGCGTGACATAGAGACGCACTCCTCAGACGTCAGACCTTCATGCAGAGGAGGACATTTCTTCATTTGGCTCTGAAAGAGATGAAATAAGATTCCGTTGAAGAGCTAAACATGAACACATTTCCTGTTGAGAGGGAGGTTAAATTCTGTCTTGTGCAACAAAATGACAGTTGACACCAGTAATGTCTCACCTACTCTTAATCTCTTTCTTGCACATAACATCTGTGGCATGAGCAGTTCTCACCTGTCCATGTTCGATAAACAGGAAGCTTGAGTGCAGGGTGTGTGATCTCCACGCACACTCTCATCCGTGCTCGCTCGTTCTCTCTGGGGCCTTTGCTCAGGCTGATTCTGTTGATGTGCAACGCGCCCGAGTCTTCCTGCGCTTCTTTGTCGCTGTCTTCGTCCACCTCCGACTTCGTCTCCTCATCCCTGTCAATGTTGTTATTCTCTCCGTCCACTTTTTCGTCGATGTATTCGATCCCTTCGGCGTTGGGGTCTGTAACAGCAGCTTTTGTTTCTGTGACGTAAGAACAGCGAATGAGTTAAGACTGAATGTTTCTATGTGCTGTGTGATTTTCTGCAAATTGTTAGTACACCAGCACCCAGATAAAATGATAAGAATGAACCTCTGCTGTATTGACATTTTCATTGACACACACTAATAATAAGTACTTATTGCGTATTTGTTCCTCTGTCTCTCCAGCTGTTTGTTCGTATGACTTGACAGACTCGTCGACCTCTCGAGGGCGCACACGCTCTTCAGCTCCCTCTGACCGTCATCTCCGATCTCCTCCGTCTCATTGGACACAAGCGATGAGAGAGTGTGTCCTCCTGCTGCCCAGAGTAGTTTGACCTTAGGGTGACCTCCCTTCAACAGGAGAGAGAACACGCCGACCCCTTCACTGCTCCAACACACCGAGAAGGATGGAGGAATGGAGGGAGCAACTAAAGGAGTGCAAAACAGAAAGACTTAGTTGATAATCTTTCGGATATTACGGAAGATCCTTTCTGTCCAACAAATCTTTTAAGTTTTTATAATGAGAAACTTTCTCAGAACAATGACTTAATATATAAAGATAATGACTAATACCAATGTCAACATTTTTCCAGTGCCTCTCAATGGGCTCATGTAGGGAGCAGTGATCCACTCTGCACATAATCCCTCCTCTTTTCTCCTTCTTCTCCTGACTTGTTGCCCTCCTCCTCAGAGTGGCTGTGGCCCTGTAGATTCTGGGATGAGTCTGTAGGGGGCCCCACAGCTCTCCTCCGTCGATCACCTCCTCCTCCCTGTCGTCTTGCTCTCCCTCTCTGAGCTTCAGCCAAGTCACTGATATGTTCGGAGGGTAGAAATTAGTGATTTCACATCCCAAGGTTGAAGTCTGATTTGGGGAAGAGGTGGAGCTGAAGATTTCGGACACACACGGCCTCTTCATGAAGCCTGTTTCAGAGTCAAGCAGAAAATCAAGCTTTCATTTTTATATTAAATAAACATTACACTTGATGCATTTTCCTTCCCTTGCTTCTTACCTCTGGTTTCGCGGGTGACTGGCTGCTTCAGGGCGATGTGGTGGACACTGACCCACACTTTAGTTCCTCCCTTTTCCAGTTCACTCTGCGGCAGCTTACACTGGCTGTAGGCCGAAAAGAAGCCCTCAGAATTGGGCCTCGGGGAGGACGAGGCCTGGGAGGCCACGGGGCTCAGCTCGCCCCCCTGACAGAACCAGCGGAAGGTGATGACGTCTGGATGGAAATGTGATGCCCGTACTGTCATGCTGATGACATCTGCAGGACAGAGATGTGAGGGATGTAGCTTCTTACAACCAAGAATGTTTTACATGCATCGAGGTGATTAACTGTCGCTTTACCCGAGTCATTTGGGGTCTCCGCCAGCTGGATTTCTGATACTTCAGGAGGAGCTGTGGGAGACAATTTGAGATCATTTCTGTTGCATAAACTGTGAAAATCAATTAGAAAATGATTGAGCGAAAAGAAATTCTTACACAGGATCGTGAACTTCTCGGACACCCTCTCCACCACGATCTTGTCCTTGCCAATGTAGGAGACCTGACACTTGAATACCGCAGCCTTGTGAATTGAAATCTGTGGAATGAAGGTCAGCGCGGAGATCAGCTGTTGGGAGCCACTTCCAGAGGACTGCAGCGGCCCCTCAGTGTGCAGCTTGTAGTAGGCCATCTGTCCTCTGGAGGGAAGCAGGGGGCCTTTCTCTGACGCTGGGGAGGTGAGAGTTAGACCGTAGGGCAGATGAATGGTGGTTAGGGGGTTATAGAGGCAGTTGAAGTTAGCTTTGGAACTCCCTACGTGTGTGAAGTTGATAAATTGTTAGCAGAATTATAGTGTAAAAGAAAAAACAAGGTCAGTTTCAAGAACGGAATAAAAGAAGATGTACCATCATCAGTCTGAAAAACATTTTATTTCCTGTTTCTTAAATGTATCAACCACTTCCCCCATTTTAGTTGCAATGATCTTTCAAGGTAGTGGCAGCCCAAAGTTTCACTTTTGCAATAAAAGGCATGAGTGATTAGTGCATTAAAGGTGCTATATTATATGGTGGTGGTGTTGGTGGTCTGCCGGGAGCTTCAACCATCATTGGGTTTACAAGAAAAGCAGTTACATGCACCCTAGCACCCCAGTGTTTCGCTATCGTAAAGTGACAATAAGTGACACTAAAAGCAAAACAAAATTTCACATTAGCCATCGCCAATCACATGCCACCCCAGCTCCTCGAGTCGAGTAAATTAATCAAGTTCGATACTGAACTTTCAATGTTTCTAGCACGGACTGTATTAAGACAGAAGACATGATGGCTTTCCAAAAGTGAAGCCAAAGTGTTTTGATATATATATATATATGTATAAGAGGTCAAAGACAAATTAATGAGTAATCACTGGTTATCTGGGCATTTCATCAGCTCTCCTACCTGTGAATGAGGTGTCAGAGATAGGGGTATCATTGAGGAACCAGGCTGTCTGGACTCGGTCCACTCTCCTGCCTTCGATGCTCACTGTCACTCTGCCCTTTTGACCTATGATCACGTGTGGAGGGAGGATGATCCCTGACACGGTGAGAGACTTCTGCTTCTCTGAGTGAGGGGAGATGAAGGCCATTAAAGAGTTACCAGGAGAAAGACAGAGCTCTTCAATAGCTTCATAATTAAGTCTTTAACCAATTGGATTTAATTAGTTCAATACATTTAGCATGGTAGTTTGAGGAAATTGGATTGTTTGTCAGTTAAATGGAAACATAAGTGCATGACAGTTTCTGACTCACCATCCCTTCTCCTCCAAGAAAAGCCGAAGCAGAGCAGGAAGACCAGCACTATAGAAATGCACATCATAGCCACAGATGCTTTGGCTGATTTCGTCAACACCGGAGACTCATCTAACAAGAAACAACAGAAATAAATATTCATGAGCAAAAATTCCCAACGTCATCTACGGTTCTCTAATAAGATGTGTTATCTCAGTTAAATATAACCTTCTGGATCCAGTTTCTCCAGGTCTGCCGATCCGCTGACTGGGAGCATTACCCCAGGTTGGTTTACCACGCACTCCACCCTCCCACCTTGCTCCCTCTGCTCGGGGCTCAAAGTATAATAGTGTCTGGTGCTGTAGGTCCCGTCTGGGTTTTGCTCAGTGGCCGGGGGCTTAGGGAGACTTGTGCCATTTTGAATCCAGGACACCGAAATTTCCTCAGGGTAGAAACTCTCCAGGTCACAGTAGAGAGTGAGAGGAATGTTGTTGGAGTGCGATTGCACCGCAGAAAGTCGCACAGATGGGGGATCTGATGAAAACATTTATGAAAAAAAGTTAACATATTATACAGTTCTCCACCGACCCATAAACACATGCTTCCATCAATGCAGATATCAAATGCAGATTAAATCAAACCCTCTGTGGCGGAGGTAATGAAAATCCAGATCGAATGGATTTAAATGTGGTTTTGTGAGGGGAATGTTGGGCCTTGGTGGAGGTATGCGCCATCTAATTGCCATCCTAGGTAGCATATTTGCACATCTGATTGGCCGTGGTGCTCTTAAGGTTGCCAAGCACTGATTGTTGCCAGTGTTTGGCATGAAGCAAAAGAGGTTTCACCCAAAACTACATCTTGAGCTGATGTTGGCACAATATTTCACCTTACGACATAGTTAGTTTTTTTCGTGAGCAGATCTTATCGGACAGAATGTCACTTGAGTGATCGCTATTAAGTTCAGCGTGTTTTTGTGTCTCTCACATGTGATGTTGAGTTGGAAATCCAGCTCTTGATTGTCTCCATTGTGTGACACTTTGCAGCCAAAGGTCACATTCTGGTCCTCACGGGAAGGGAAGATGGTCAAGTTGCCCACAGCCGTGTAGAAACCGTCTGGAGTCTGTTCACCTCGAACCTGGTGAGGACGTTCAATCACCTGCCCGTCTCTGGTCCAGGAGAAAGAGACAGGGGGAGGGTAGAAACCATCTGCGTTGCATTTGAACTGGATCTCTGTCTCTAACACCACCCACTGCTGAGGGATTGAGAGAGTGGGGGAAGCTGCAGAGAGAAGACGTAGAGGAAATTGATTGAGAAATACAAGAGTTCAGCATTGTATTAATTTGGGTTCAAATGAGAACGAGCCCAACTGAACAAAACATACCGATGATACTAAATGTAACGTTGCTGGAGTGCAGGACCGTGGAGTTGTGGCTGACTGTGCATTCATACACCCCCTGCAAAGCGAGAGTAGCTGTGAGGATGGTCAGTGAAAAGTCTCCACTGATGAAATCACTGGGGTCCCAGATGAAGCCTTCCTTTATTTGTGTTGCCTTGTTTCCGAATGAGGCGACAGCAGAGCCGTTACTGATCCAGCTGACAGTGATGAGAGACTGGTTCACGGAGACAGGGAACGTCACATTGCAGGGAAGGGTTGCATTTGTATTTGGGCTGGCCTGAATTTCACTGGGAGACCCTGAAACACAGAGAGCGTAAGCTTAGATGAAGAGAAAACAAAGAGTCTTTACTGATGAACTGCAGCACAGATTAGATTAGTGATGATTGGTGAAATGTGCCTTTAACATTTGGTTAACGATTTGGATCTTCAGCTGCAGTTTAATTAATTTCATTAAATGAAGTTAATTTGAATTAACAGCCCTGTGAAAACAAAGGGAGGCTAAATGTTTGTATTTAAGATTTTACATTCTCCTGTAAAGAGAGAATTGAGAAAAAAAAGTCGAGTTAACGTTCATCTACATCGTCTAACTCCTTGTCAAGCTATTTTCTTTCTCAGGAAGAAAAAACTCTTTCCTCCTCATACACGTGAAAATGTGGATACATAATTGTTAGTTCCCTTATGAAACCACATTTTAATTTTGCACCAATCAGCAGATACTCATTTATATCAGTCCCATAAATATGTCAGTTTATTTCCAACAAGATTTACGAATTATTCTCTGAGAAACAAACGTCTCGCAATGTTAAAACATTTCCTGGATCCACCCTCTGATCCAGACCCACACCAAATTAAATGGGTCCTCGTCGTTAGTGGCTATTTTTGCGTAATAAAATTACCTCCCTGGTGGAGATAATAAAACCCACCTTTGTTCAGTTCAGTATGTTCAGGTATAACAAAGCCAAGACATGGTGCAGATTGTTACTTCATCTCCTATCGATTTCATAATAAAACCATTAGATTTCTGCACAAACAAAACAAAAATCACATTTGTCATGGGTTGTTTATTCAATTTGACAAATGTCACCACTACATTTGAATTGGAGTGAATTGTTTGAGTTTCATGAAGTTTGTCTTTTCCACATTCTTTCTTTTCTTTCCTAATTGTAAATCAGTAATCTGAGTATATACCTCGTTGAATCAGTGTAAATATGAAGCCTTTCAGTCTGCTCTGAGCAGCCAGTCAGCTTAATTATTAACTAGTACAATAAATACTTGTCTGGTACTTGAGCCAAAGCGACGCAAACTTTCTTTAGTGTGGAGTGTTTATGTTGCACCCCTCGATAAGACTAATGGGCTGATCATAGCAGGGTGATAAAATGGAGAAGAATGAGAGTGTAAAGAAAAGTGACTAATGCTTTACTTTGCTGGTAAGTCTACTTTTACTTACAATACTGATCCAACCACAGATTAAAGTTATTTTAAACCTTCAGGCCAGATCAGAGATATTTAGTAAACACTATTTTAGTTTGGAAAGAAAATTTTAAAATATGCTTTTCACTGCTTACAACCCTTCTAATAACCATCTAATGTACACAATCAGTAGAGTAGTGACACCTTGTTTAAAGATTCTTACCTATATTCTCAGTGCATGTGAATATTATTATACTGGAGTGGACAATGTGGATAAAATCTTCTATCGCTGTATATGAAGTTTCATAATTTAGCAGATAACAGTAAGTACATTTGCTATAAATTACACTGAGAGACATTTTCTGTAATAGCCAGATTGGAATAAATAGTTTTGATTAAATTGGCTGAAGCCAATTCTTGACAAATCACGGTATTTCATCACACTGGTGCAAGAAAACCTTATAAATCCAATACTGCCATAAATCAGTGTTATTAATTGATTTGCAGCATTGCTCACATGAACTAATACAAAACATGAACGTTGCATCAATAGGACGCAAAAGAGCAAATATCTGATTTTATACATTAGTGTATTATTGCCCAATTAAACCCATTACACTTACACACACAATGCTCCAAAACTTTAAATGGTCCTACACTTCCGACAAATCAACACAAAATAAAGGTTAAGTGCATGTTGACACGTCGGAGCAACATGCACCATCTCCATTTACATACAGACCACGTCCAAGACTTCATGTCAGATAAATCTCCTTCCAATTTCACCTGATCCCATCAAACTCTTTACAAACCTCGTCATTAGGTGAAGAAACAACAATCTAGTAACTGGCCTGTGAGTGAAATGACACAATACTCACCATGCTTTACAAGGGCCAGGAGGCCGACATAGACGAGGACTTTACACCGCATCTTGAGAGCAGCGTCTTATCACCGGGCCCTTTTACTGTCTTATATAGAGCTATGAGATGACGGTGGGCGGGATTGTCCTGCCAGATGGGAAATAAGAAATATTGTCCCTGGGCCTCACAGGACTGAAAGGAGGCCCTTGATATGTGTTTGTCCTTAGGAAGCGAGCCCCCAGAGGACTGATAGAGCAAGAAGGAGAAGCAGGGAAGAGAGTTAGATGTGCAGGGACACACAAATGGGAGAAACCGGTCACTTAAAATTCACTCGGGCCCCGGGCCAAGGTTTTGCGGGCTACTTTACATTGGTGCAGTGTTGCCATGAACAAACAGAGAGGGTCATCCCACTGAGCTTATGTGTGCAAACATTCAGGCAAGACCACAACTCTTTTCTATCTGGGGGAAAGTTAGTGAGGTGTTGCATTCAGGACAAAAAGGGGATATAAAGAAGAGAATGGTTCTTATTTTACAGGCCCTCTGTGTTTCCAGTCCTGCTGATGCGTCCGTCATGGTTGAAGTTAATCTTTAACCACATCAAGTGTTTGATATTTGAAGGAAAAGGTTTTGTCTGTGTCACCCTCCCTCTGAATATTCATTAACCTGATTAGCTGCTTGAATTGTTTGACTTTGCACTTTAATTGATCTTGACACACATCAGTCTGCAAACATGGGTTCATTTCTTGTGTGGAGATCACACAGGGTCTCTGTGTCACTGCGCTCAAGTGTTTTGTGTGATTTGACTGAGTGTGATTTAAACAGGTGATTCATGTGTTCTATTTGCCTTTTTGTGTTGGTACTCTGTGTCCTTTTCTGGGTGTCTTGTTTCCTTCTTGACATTCCTTTCATGACGAAAGACTGACTTCACTGTGGTCACGCCACATGACATTTTTTTTAGGACTACAGACAAATTATGAAGTGGAAAAAAACACTCATCACTGAATTGTAGTGTTTGATTTGACCACTTACTAAATGTGGTTAATGATGGGGGCAATCATGTCATAGTGTTAATTCTTCATTTAAAATCAAATAATATGGATCTTTATGATTAAAAAAAAGAAGTGTTGTCGCTGAAGTGCACAAAAACCCACCAAGAGAGACACGAACGGAACAAAAAAGTGAACACATAAAAACAAAATCGAAAGGTGGTCTGATGAGTAAAGAAAAAGAGCTGACCAAGAAGTGTGACTAAGCCAACAAAAAGCAAAGGTTAAGCAGTGTCACACACCCAGTGTGACGCCTGCATTGGGCCCACAGATTCCCAATGACCAAGGAACGGTTTGGAAATTCATCCATAACTATCAAATTAAAATATGAGAAAAAGAACTAGATTTGTGGCAAATGTCTTTATCTCTAAGAGGAAACAGTTTTCTCAATTGCGAACTGTTGATTAAAACAGTCATTGTACTGCTGAAAGGGGAGGGTGGGGGAGCAGTCCGAGTCCAAGGTCAGATGGTTGCATCCTCAATGTCATATTCCAAATTTTGCATGATGGCAGTCCTGTCTTCACCTTCAACATAAAGTGGGGCAGCATCGCACTTCAGCCTTAGGAAGCTCATGTCACGACTGCACACGTGGATCAGATGCAGAGAAGTATGAGGAAACGCACGGTGGAGGCTACAAAAACACCTGCTATAACATCACCAGGGTAATACTGGTCTACCCTGTTACAGTAGGGTGTGACGACCTGCAGACATTTAAATACAAAAACTAAAACCAGGACCTCTGCTGAAGACACAAAGTGACAGATCAGATATGGCAGCTCGGACGATGCTGATACTTTTGATATGTAAGGTCCTGTTGAATCAAGGTGAGCATTTACACAAAGTAAGTAAGTAAGTAAGTAGGTTTTTAGTTATTTAGTTAGTTTTGATTCATTTGTGAGGATGTAATTAAAGATGGTTTAAAACTTACTTGTATTATGTTGAATAACTTTTAGACTCAATGAAACATACATATTATGATGTGAATACAAAACACAGGATTCACTGCAGGACTGTTGTGTTGTTGCCAAAAATTATACAGAGTTAAAAAATTTAATGACAGTCGGTATCGATAATTATGTTTTCTTTTTGAGCGGAGTACTTGAACAGCAAAACAGCAAAACATCGTTTGACACCATAGGTCATAAGATCGTGTGACAGAGACTGGAACAACATGTTATCAAAAATAATGAATAACTTCTTTACACTGTTTGATTGTTTACATTTTAACTATAGTCAGATCTGATACCTGATGGCGCACAAGTGTTCCTGGTCTCTCTCCCCCTCCTCCCCCTCCCCACTATCTCTCTCTCTTCTCTCCTCTCTTTTCCACCCCCCTGTCCTCCCCATTTTTTTCTGCTAACCCCAAACGGTCGAGGCAGATGACCGCCCACATTGAGCCTGGTTCTGCCAGAGGTTTCTCCCCATTAATGAGGGAGTTCCTCTCCACAGTCGTGCTCAGTGCTGCTCATTGTGGGAGCTGTTGGGTTTGTCCATATTTACAAGATTTTAAGTATATTATGATTTGGCGCTATACAAATAAAATTGAAATGAATTGAATCTCATCCCTCACCTGAGAAAGAATTGGAGGAAAAAGCTGTGACTCTGGTGCCACACTGTGGCTGCAGTTACACAAAACAAAACACTGTTACACCCCCATCCATGGAGACACTGGTGTGACTATTATACACTCAGATAAACACTCACACATTGAGCATATATAGATTGAAGTAAGGACAGTGGTTAGCACTCACAGTCAGAAATTCTTGGTTCACCTTTCTGTGTGGAGTTTCTTTGTTCTCCCTATGTCAGTGTGGGTTTCCACAGTCCAAACACATGAAGATTCACTTCAACTTAGAAACGAAAGTTTGCCTGCATGTAGAAAACTCTACTTTGAACATTGTTTCAACTGGGAAAGATAAACCGTTATTACTGACTGATGATTATTTACTGTTTAAACTCGCTTTTATCTCATCAAACAAACACACGATTCCACATTATTCCAACTCACATCTTCACGTTATGATCATTTCAAATGTATTCAGACCAAATGCCATTTCACAGTGATGTTTTTAAAGATTCCATTACATTTAGTCCTTATCTTGACCAATAATGGAAAGTTTGGGGTTAGGTTGATAGTAAACTCTGAATTGACTGTAGGTGTGAGTGTGAATGATCATTTGTCTCTGTATGCTGGCCCTGAGATATGCTGCCCTATAAGGTCATACCCAGCCTTTCACCCAATGTCAGCTGGTTCTGGCAACCCCCCCCTTACAGGACAAACAATATAGATAAAGGAAGAACAGATTTAAGTTACATGTTCATGTCTCTTTTTCCACAGGGTCAAGGGCTCAGGGTAAGTACAGTTTCCTGTTTTCTGTGCAAATACTTGGAAGCATCTATGGATTGGATCAACTTGACTGTGTATCAACTTGTTTTCTTCACCTAATGACGAGGTTTCTGTTCTCTGTCAGACTGTGGAGAGGCAGCTCTGAACACAAAGATAGTGGGTGGCCAGAATGCCAAAGCCGGCTCGTGGCCCTGGCAGGTCAGCGTGCACTTGGTTCAGTATCACATCTGCGGAGGGACCCTCATCAGTAACGAGTGGGTGCTCACAGCAGCCCACTGCATCTTAACGTAAGACGATCTCACACTGAACAAAACACAACAGAAAAACAGTCAAACTGCTCTTTCTTACGACAATAGCATCCTCTCTGGGGCCGCAATGTGCATAAAGAAAAAAAAAGTATGTACATATCCATGACAAAATTCTCATGGTCTAACAATCTTTGATGTTCTGGTCAGTACACTATTTACATTCTGTTCTGCAAATAAGCAACACATATGTTTTTTATTTTAACGTCTGTGTCCTTTTTTACAATTGAGGAAGTAAAATACCCTGATACACCAGCTGTCTAATTCTGATACAACCTTTTATTGCAAACTGTTGATGACTTCCCCAGCTTGTGTAATGAATACAACACACACCGGATGCAAAAACAGGATATACTCTTTTTCGATCCAGCCAGATTTATACCTTGTAGAACCGATCACTTATCACACTTAACACTATACTGCACTTCTGCATTTCAAGATGCAGTCTAAAATGTGCTCAAAGTAACTCTCAAAAAAAAATGGTGTCACCCCTGTGCCGTTTATATAAACCAAATAAACCATTTTTATTTTTTCAAGCATTTTTTGTCATCGAAAGGTGAGGTCAGGTCCAAACCGGGTATCCACACTCTAGCTCCCACACAGGTAGGTGCAGGGCCATTATATCATATTCATAGATCCCAGACACGAAATGAGAATGGTGACAAGTTAAAACTGAACCATTTTAAAGCCGTTTGGGGAATTTATGAATGTATAATTTTGGAAGGAACAAAAAAAGGTTTTAGTGGATGTAAAAAGTTGCTGGAGTTTAATTTTAGTTATTATTGGCAGAGCTACATTAAGCTGTTTATTCATATTGTATCTGCTCAGCCTATATCTCTCCTGTGACTACATTCAACTGAATTCTAGTGCTTGATGTGGTCATCGATACATGCCTCCGATAAATCAATTGTTGGATACATACACATCTTCCAGAAATTATTTAGGAGAATTCATATATGAGACTACTCCACCCACAATTTAATTAATATATTTCTAAATGCAGGAATGAAACCAATTCATGGATTCTCTACTTTGGAAGAGAAACTCAAAGTGGTCCTAATGTGAATGAGGTGAACCGCACTGTTTCCCAAGTCATCATCCATCCTAACTACAGCAACCTAAACAATGACATTGCCCTGATGAAGCTCAGCAGCCCCGTCACTTTCAACAACTACATCAGACCCATCTGCCTGGCAAGTAACACCAGCGAGTTCTTAAACTCCACCCTCTGCTGGGCCACTGGATGGGGAAAACTTGGAAAAAATGGTGAGAATCCTTTCAGGTTATAAAGTTGAGAGAGCATCCAGACCAAATTTCTGTTGGGATATTCTGTCTCTTTTATTTTAATCCCGTAACTTTAAAGGTTTAGTGTGTAAGATTTAGGTACGAGGGATCTATAGGCAGAAATTTTATATAAAATAATCCTCGTAGTGTTTTCACTGGTGTGTTTCTTCTAAATTGTACAAATCGTTGTTTTCTTCACCCAAAAATGGACCCTTTATATTTAAATAATTTATATTTACATCACACACGGGTCCGCTCTACAGGAATGACTGCATATGTATAATCACAAGGCTGAGGCCCCATTAAGACCTGGTATTATCATCCATCTTGAGAGATCCAATTACAAGTGGCCAGCTAGTTTGTCTGTTCACATCTGACATTAAAATGCATCCTTGTTGATACCAGGTCTGTTTATTGATAAAGACTGAAACTTGAGGATGATGGAGTGATCGTATTCTCTCACCTGCAGAGAGTTTGCCAGCCACTAAGAAACTTCAGGAGGTGGAGATCCCTGTCATCGAAAACGAGCAGTGCAGCAGCGCTTACCAAAAATTAATAAACATCACTAACAGCATGATTTGTGCTGGGAAAGAGAACAAAGGAGCATGTCAGGTAAACACAATGCTGAAATATGTGGAGGCAGAGACATGGTGGCAGCTTTCTGAAGATTTCCGTTTCTTTTTTAAAACCCTGGCCAAGTTGGGATTTAAACCAGCAACCTTTTTGATAATTACTCGATGGCACAATAATAATGATAATAATAACTGATGATGGTTTTAAAGTAAAACCTGCCTAGGTTGTTCTTTGTAGTTTCTTAAATCTCACACAGCCATATGGACCAGACCTGGATCTGCTAGAGTCCAAGAGGACAGATGGACTCTCCCTATCCCACTGTCTAAGTGCACTTGAGCAAGGCACCTTACTCCCCCAACATCTGCTCCCCGGGCGCTTTCAATAGCTGCCCACTGCTCCTTGTGGTCACTGTGTGTATTGTGTTCCATGTGTGCTGTGTTCGCACGGATCGGTTAAAAGCAGAGGTCCAATTTCCCCATGTTGCATGTAGTGCTGTGTGTGCATGATTGTGGGATAATAAAGGAATCTTAAGAGTCTGAAACATGTAAACATATTAACATTGTAACATATAGAACATTATATTATTGTCAGTGATTCTAGGCTAAGCTACTCCAGTCTTACATGTTCCTTGGGAATGTCCACTAACTGCTATGTTTTGTCTTTTAAGGGAGACTCTGGTGGACCTTTGCAGTGCAAACAAGGCTCACAGTGGATCCAGGCTGGCATTACCAGTTTTGGGGTACCTTGTGCCCTTTTGGGTTTCCCTGAAGTCTATGCCCGAGTGTCTGAGTTCCAAGACTGGGTCAGACAAGTGGCAGGAGCCCGTGTTGGATTTGTGACATATGGAAATGACACCAACAAACCTAGCAACAAGACTACGGCCTCCACATCATCAACCTTGACAGCTGTGCTTGTGTTTGTGACAGTGTTCCTGCAGCTCATTTAGATCAATAGTACAGTTTTGCAAAAAAACTTCTTTTGTGTTTAACTTTTAAATTCATTTTACGGTCTGCATTCTACTTACATACAACCGCATGGTGGTTGTAGTAGAGTTTGTAAGATCAAATTGTCACTACACTGTCGCTCTGGAGAATCTGTTTGGGATAAATCATTGGGAAATCCAACATTAAGTCACTTTGTAAGGTTGTGGACTATACAATTCCTTTAAATACCTGTAATCCATAACCTGTGAATAAAGTTACATTTATTAGATCTAATCTTGGTTGGAATAGTTGAAGGTTTAGAAGATTAAAAGAGAGAGCTAAGATCTGAGAAACTTTCTAAATAAAGGTCAAGTGTTGCAGTTGATTCTAGATAAATCTATAAATCATGAGAAGGAGGTGCTGATTTTTTTTCTCCGACAGTTTCCATTTTGTTTGTAAAGATTAAATCATGACTTCTAAGGGTTAAAGGAATAAACAGCTCAGTAGAGCTAAAAGAAACCTGGTGTTGTTCTTGATACATGTTGATGAATGATAAATGAGGCACTGGCATCATGGAGGGAAATCACTCACTAAACACTATATAATCCTTTATATAGTGATTTTGCCATTTTGTAGAGCAGTCCAAATGCTTTATGAATGTTCTTATACTCTAAATAGTGGGTCTATTGTTTCCCACAATGCAGTAGTGCACAACCAACTGAGCAATATATACCATCATACATTTGTAAATACAAGCAGAGCATCACAACACGAACTGATGCTATACTTAATTTCTACGTTTAGATATCTTCAGATGAGCTAACTGTATTGTCCTCTACATAGAAGTCTATATATAGTGAAGTGGGGGTGAGTGAGGGAGTGGGTGGGTGACACATCTTATCTTGTCAAGCAACACAAGCTTCTCATGTCAACACTTCCTGTACTGCTTTCATGTCGGCTGAAAAGCA